AAACAGCAGACTGACAATGTTTTGGCAGTACTAGTACATAGCCATCTCTACTCAGCTGCTCCCCTTGTCTCACAGAAAGATAAGAACAGTAGCTGCAGTTCCTGGCATGTGCTTTTAACAACAAACTCAGGAGAAAGCCTTCTGCTACTGGAGCAGAATTTGCAGGGCATTATGTCTTTTCTTACAAAAAGATAGCTGATGGAAGAATCCTATAAGATAGCCATTGTATCATGTGTCTAGAGAAAGGAGATCCGTTGTTTCAGTTCTGAGTGTAGGTCTGCTTGTAACTGGTTTATAAGATAGATAGGCCAGCAGAAAAGCAGTAGAATGACTAGATCACAGTGACGGTGCTTCATTTGGATATAGTGAGCCAAAACCTGACTTCAGCCAGCTCTTCGCCTTTAGTCCTACAATGCTCTTTTTAGTAACCATGGTCTGATTGCTGTTCAGGAGCCACTCCTTTGATTAACTATTTTTTCCCCCCTTTGAGTAGATTTGGACATCTCCATTGCCATAATTTACTTTTTAAGTTATACTCTCCTGTTCCGAATTGCTTCAGAAGTGAGGCTGTAATTAGGGATGGAACAGCATCAAGTCTAAAGCCCATATTGAGGCTATTTGATGACATATCAGGGTCAAGAGACTATAATGATTTGATTAACAGTTTTTGAGGAATTAAAAAAGTATATCTTTCATGACTGTTTTGTCAGCCTGTTTCAATTAATATGATTAAATAGCATTAAATTAATATGCTTATAAACACAACCCTTTTAGACCAAACTCAGTTTATGACCCAGCAATCAGCTGATTGATCTATAGCCTGTTTCCTTGTTGGAAAATGTATATCATAAATGAGCTAAGCAAGTTTTGAAAACTTAATGTATTTTCAAGGGATTTCCAGGAGATATTAACTGCTCCTCTGCAAAGTGATGACTTTTAATAATCAAAGATAATCATGTCTGCTTTATAGTGTGGAGATTAAAATTTGAAGCAATCAGTACTATGTCCATCAATGAGCAAAGCCCAAAGACCAGTCTGAACTTTCAGTCCTTCAATCTAAGTTAATTTGCTCAAGCAGTCCTAGTAAGACTACATGCTTTGGTAAAGTTACTCAGAAGTTCTGAGTCTAGCATCGAGTTCTCTTGTTTTACCTTTACTCCATTCTCAAGCTTGTGTAAAACCTTGGAGGTGAAGGGCTGCTGAAATCTTAATGCAGCATCTTGTGCATGCTGCACGCCCAGTGCAGCTGAACAATCAGGCCAGAAGCTTTTGTCTATAAGGCAGGTGTTCCCTAATGGGTTTGCTATCAGGATCAGCAAAAAAATGTAACTGTTTAACTAGTAGTGTGGTTAGAAAGGCTATTACACCCAATTTGAGAAAGCAACCTTCACAAGCTTGTTAGACACAACTATTTCAGACCTGACTACGTAAACAAGGGTTAGACTGGTGGAATGAATGGAGACCGGCAAGGCAGTATGTGACATACCCCCTTCCTGGCTGGCCATGCTTTCCTGTGCCTTCTAGTAATTTCCTGGCTTTACTTCCATAGGAGATGCGTTTCAGAATTCCCTTTCCAGAATTTATAACTTGCTGGCAGTGTATTTTGCCTAAAAGCAGAATTCTCCATATTCTTGCACATTTAACCAAAGAGGGGTATTGCCCTGTTCCCTGGTCTCTTTGTTGGGGCTGTTCCCTGGAGTTAAAGGAACATAACCAGAAAATGATATAACTCGTAAGTATGATGGATAACATTTATAACCATTAGAGAAAGTGAGAAGCTTCTCTTAATACTCCACCACTAGGAAACTGTGCTGGTCTTAGATTAGCATTTAAGTGAAACAGATAGAGGGCAGAGAGAAAAAAAAATAGTGAGGAATGTCTTCTCTTCCTGTAGGAAACACAGTATTGTCCATGCATCCCTTTCTAGAGCTGACTTGTAGGGATTTGTCTTTTAAGGAAAGCCTGTCCACTTTCAACAAACCAGTAATTTCTATTTATCTAGCAACACCCTGCCCAGCCATGGACTTACTTGTAGCTAAGCAAATCAACCCAACCCAACTGTACATGTGAAGAACCTAATGTAAAATCTGAACTATAATGTCCCAAGATTTAGAAGCAAGTGTTGTTTGCCTGCAGCATAACGTGAGGTTATACTAGCAGCTGTAAATAATTCTAGAGAAAGCTGCACAGAATCAAATAGCTTTCGATCAGGTCCTACCACTTTCATCTTCTCCTTCACTAAGATAAATTAAACTTTAAATGTATGAAACTCAGGAGCACTCTGTTTGACCTAACCTTGTTGCCATGGATGGCAGTGGCAATTTTAATGTTAACATCACTATGACCATAGTCAGGTCAATGATGATAACTTAAAAATACTGCCATAAACCATCATCCATGGTAAAAACAAACAATAAAAACACACAGAGAGAATGCTTATAAATATTTAGTGAGAATTGGGATAATTGGATTGAATGAAAACTCTCTAAAGCCTGCATTTTCACTAAATCTTTGTTACCTTACTTTTCTTATGACAGTGTTAAAATAATCCATTGTTTGTGACAAGATTTGTGTTACTTTGTACTTTCAGATTCTGTAAGTTTCAGATGCTTGAAATCTAATATGTTGTCTTTCATAGAATGTTAAACGGTGATTGACTGGATAATGAAGGATAGATGGGGACTAATAATTACATGGCATCTTTTAACAGGCATTCTTAATAGAAGTTCTTAAATTCTCATTTAAGAACCGTAGATAAGTTTTCATTTTATATCAATATCTGAAGAAAATCATACTGGTCTTTTTCTTCTTATGTATTCTTTTAGAGCAAATGATGGGGTATTATGAGAAATGCAGAACTCAGCATCACGGCCAGAAACACCACCTCTATCACTGTATACTGAATTTTACCATCAAGTTATGAAATTTTAACAGCTAGTAAAAAATGTAAAAAAAATCATGCAAAGCAGTAGAGAAAAAGTATTCGTTTAAAAACAGCTAACAATTTCACAATCTGATTTACAGTTTTAAATCTAATTTCCATGGATTTTTGTTAGTTTTAGCTTCAGCCTTAACTCACTGTTTTGTCAGTGTGCATTACAGTTCACCAGTCCTTATTGAAAGATCTGTCATATTGTAACAAAAGAGAGAGACTGCCTTTGAATAATTCTATAAATGAACTGAAAAGCCCTTGATTTTGGCCAGTAATGAGTAATAAAAATGACTTAGATTGGGAGTGCAGCCATCTGTCTGAGCAACAATATTAATTTAAAATGCACTGAAGTCGTATATGATTACAAGAATGCCAAGTGTGTGGCTTAGTAAATTTGCTTGAAGAGAATTCTTGGGGGGAGAGAAAGTAAGAGGCAGTGCAGCTCTCGCTGAAAACAGCTACATATGAAAGGGTAATCTTTGGATTAGAAAATAAATTAGAAGAATTCAAAGGAATTTAACAACAATTTTTGAACCATATCGTAAAGGAGGCTGAGGATTAAGAGCTTATGGGGGAAGAGAAAAACAGAATAGAAGGGGTACATAAAACTCATAGCTCCATAGAGAAACACGTAATCCGTTTTCTGTGTGTTCAGGGGTAGATTCGGTTTATTTTCACTATTTTGTTTTGCACTGCTGAATGGGAGGGAATGAAAGAATAAACAGCAACAAACCCAGTATGCATTTAAACAAAATGTTAGTTAATTCTGCAGTTGAAAATATTCATATGTAATTAAAAATACCATGGCCTTTCTTTTTCTCTTTCTCTCTCTGAGGCTATGCATCACTAAATCATGCAGATGAATCCCTGAAAAAGCCTTATATGCAAATTGTAACAGCTATATGCAAGGGTAGTATTGGCATATGAAATTCAGTATTTCTGCAAAATAGAAACAATTCTATAGTAGATATAAAGGTTATTCCCTTGCAATACAGTTATCAGAGAAAGGTTCTCTTCTCTGCTGGAATACTTTTTGAAAGCATCAGCCTCTGCTGGTATGAAGAAATAAAATTGAGAAGACTTATCCTGTTCAATAGCTAACATTTTTTTCTGGAAGTACTGACCAGAAACTTTTTTGTGATTTAAAATCTGAGAGAATCTGACAGTTGAACTGATACTGTGCCCAGTATTTTTTCTATCAAACTGTTTTTGATAGAAAATTGGATTTTTGATTAAATTGAGATGTGCAAGAAGTGATGAAATTTTCTACGTAAAATTTCCAATGCTTAAAACAGAGGAATTGCTGAAAAAGGTACCAGATTGCATCATGAAAATTATAGTCTTGGACCATATGTTTCCATTTTGTTCTAGGAGATAGATTTTCTACAACCTGGGGTTCTTGGGACTTACAAGTGAACATTAAAAGGGAAGAAAACTGCTTTTAAATGACTTCTCACAGGATCTAGGTAGTGGTGAGGTAGTCTAAAATTACCCCTTGTGCTGAAAAGTATTTTGAACATTGCAATGCTATATATCTAGTACTGAGAACAGCCTCAAGTTTTAAAAAATAATTACAATTGCGCTAGTCACCTGTTCAAACAAAAAACAGATGACCAAACATAATGGAAAAAACCACTTTTTCTAATTGTGTCAGATTTTTAATGAGGCAGAAGTGAAACGATGTCATTGCTCAAGTCTGTGGGCCAGACTGCAGTTTATACAGTCCCTTTGTGAAAATCCACATGGATCCAATCTCTCAGACCACTTCTCTTATTTACCAGATCTCTGATTTCCTTAACTTTGCAGCATTTTTGTATGAAAGCTAGTGTAAACTCTTATCTCCTTACCTTTCATCTCTTTGATTGACATTGAGAAGAACACGTTCTTATTTTTTTTTGCTTATCCAGAGAATTGTTACTGTTTTCCTGGCAAAATCTCCAGTCTTTCCCCAATGAAGACATAAGCCTCTTCCTTTGCATTAATGAAATTCCATCCAGCTATATTCCAGTACCTTTGTCTGTTCCTTACACCAGTTGAAAACACAAAGTCAGTTATTTCCATGCCCTACCTGTTTAGTTCTCATTTTGGAATCTGGTGACAGATTGCTGTAGGTATAATGGGCCTGTGTGACTCCACAGAAAAGCACTGCAACAATACCTGAAATTCAAAGAAAAAACACAGAGTTAGCTGCTTCTGTTTTCTTACGTAGGTCTGTCAAAGGGCCGCATAAAAAAGCTAATTAGACTGTTAACAGCATTTTATAACAAAAGAACTTTAAGATATGTTTTATAAGAGCATCTTTCAAACAAACTAGAATTTTTTTCCTTTGCTAAAAATCACGAAGGACTTGAATCTTCTACTTGGTCCATCACGCATTCGTAGCATTTCCACTGGTGAGTATTTGGCCCAAAACTATAGAAAATTTGTTTGAATTAATACACAGTAACATCTGACCATAATCTGACTGACAGTTAGGCAAGACTAACATAACTGTAATATGAAGGACTTCAGGCTGTTTGAAAATTTTGGCAGAGACCGAATAGGAAAGGAAAAAATAATTTTACTACATTTAAATTGTTTGAGAGTGCTTGGTACTGAATGACTGCAACAGGGGAAAGTAATTTCAGTCTGTGCCTGATTGTTAGCCTTATCATAAGCAGTGTGTAACAATGGGCAAGGTGGACAACAACATATTCCTTAAAAATGATGCTCTGGCAGGTGCCAGCTGCATTGCCCAGAATGACTAGGTCAACGACTGTAGCCCTATGGCAGTAATTATACTTCCCAGCCTGTGGAAGGTCTTGAGGAACAGGGTAGCAGGTTTGTCAGGAATAATAATAAATTTGTATTACAGTGATATTTCTTATTTTGAATACTTACTCCCTGGCCCTGGTCCTAACTCACTAGAATCATTGAGTAACGTCACTGTAATGCAGTATCATAATTAAAGTAGCTGATAAGAATCTAACTGCAATTTCCTGTCAGCTCTGGACACAGATAAGGCAGAAGGAACCCACACAGGGAGAAAATAGAAAACCAAAAATAAGTGGCCACCAATAACCATATGTAAATGCCCATGGAGGAAGAAAGCTCTGTGCTTTTCTTAAACTTGGAGCATGTCCATATAGATAATTATTTACGCAACAGCTCAGGGCTTGTTCATGTCCATTCCAATCATCATTCCCCTGAAAACCTCCACACACATTTCCTGAAGCATGTGGAGCATGCAAGTTCTGCTTGGTTTCTAGATGCACACCACACGAGCAACAACTGTTTTTGCACAAAGCCAGCCCGCAGCGCGATCGCTGCATGCCTGTGATCTCCGGGGCTCACACACAGGCGTTTTCCACCATCCACCCTACAGTGCTTTAGTTCTTGCGCCTTTCAGCCCTTCTACCCGCTGCCTCCTGTCTAAGAGCTACAACATGTCCTAATTAGGACTTTAGTTCTGCTTCCTCATAGTCTGCTCTGCAAATTGTTAGGTAGTTGTTAGCTCGTAGGTTGCTGACGTACTGAAATAACACCGATGAATCCAAGGAAACACAGGCAACAAAGCAAGCAAAAAGATACCTGTCCAGGTTTAGGCAATATCCATCCTTGCAATGTGACTGTGCAGCAGCTTTCTAGGCATTCGTTGGGTTAAACTAGCAGGAACTGAGACATATAAGCCAGTTCTACTGGAAGCAAAATAATCCCAGTCTGTGCCTTCAGTCCTGGACTTGAAACTGGATAAGCCTTCCTCCAGCTTCTCCAGGATGGTGACTCTCCTGAATTTACAAAGGCCGGCAAGAAGAGGCTCAGTAAGGGGGCAGGATCTGCAGCGCTGCAGGCTTTAGCACAGCAAACCCAACGTAAACCAATCTGCTCCTTCAAAAGGATTAACAGAGGCAGGCCAGGCTTCACCCAGTCACAGGAAAAAATGGATGGCAACGCACTAACAAGCGTCAGGTGAAAGTGCTGGTGCCTCCATAGGTTTTGTAATAGCCTTATCCAAACCTCTAAATGTCTGAATTTAGCAGCAAGAGGGCCCTGGAGGTAGGTGAAATATCCTCCTCCCCTAAAGCAAGGCATAGATACGGAAACATGGTAAAGTAAAAATGTAGACAATACTGAAACTACTTCATTTGGAGGAGCCTGCGTGTGTGGGAATGGCACATTGCCACATACCAGTTAATTATTACCTTACCGTGTCTTTCTCAAGTTTCTGACTCTCTTTGGGTTGCTAACTGTGAAAATATTGTCCAACAAAATCCAACTTTCGTTACTTGCAAGCCTCTCTTGTTTCTGGGAAGAACTGAGGCCTGGTATTAATATGCCTTTGGTGGAAGAAAAAAGTATGGAGTAAAAAAATTCTGAGATTAATTTAGCACAAGGGATAACTGCCATCAGAAAGAAAATGAGAAAGCAAATCTTTTTTTCCCCACAAACCACTGTGGACATTTTCTTTGCTTCTGGGCTCTCTTTATATTGTAAATTTACCTGTACTTCTACAGAACACAGTCTCTGAAGCCAAGAGAAATTCTACTGAGCTTTAGCTGCTGTGTCTTTGGTTTTTAATATTTATTTTCTTATGTCTGTTTCGATTTTTTTTCCTTAAGTACACTAAGACTTTTATTTGCAGTAAATAATGTCGGTACTAGTGAGTTGTCACTGTCTAAATACGTTCCAAGACGTTCATGTTTCTGTGAAGCCTAATTGTTCTCTTAAATGAGTCTAAGTCTTTTTTCTCAGTAACTGTATTTGATTGTGCAGAACTGATCTGGGGAGTTTAAAAATTCTCAAGGCATTAATAATAAGCAATGGGATGCCCAAACAATGACAGTTCAATTAAAAAATATAGCCAATCAGAAATGTTGCTAAGTATCACTAGCTCCAGGCTCAGTAACAGAAATGGAGATAAGAGTTTCTGATTCACTTTGTTTTGCATGAATCATCATCATGCCAAGTCTTGCATTTTTAGAATTGATTACTAAATTCAACTATGATTATGAAATGTTTTTTGACTGCTAAGAAACTGTTAATTATGGGTAGTGAGAGAACTCAGAGAGCGACATGAGGAATAAAATGGCCTAAATCTGATTTTACAATAGGAATAAATGATCTGAACCATGCAATTATGCAAGTGTAGAAACCAGACACCCTGTTTCCAGGGAAGACGGGGAATGCAGTGGAATATTTCAGCTGCTACAACTGAAGGCTTAATATGTACCAGCCATGCCTCTCGCAATGAATGCTTAATTAAAAAGCTCGGAGAAAATTGTTTGTAATGCATTTCCATAAAAACGATTACTTAAGAGTAATGACCAATTACATGTTAATGCAACTACAAAGGAAAGAGAAATACGTAAAAAGGCAAACATAGAACTTTTTAGTTAGAAGGAAAAAGCAATCTGGATTTCTTTGTAAGACTATTAAAGCTGGATTTTGAAGTTAGCTCGGTAGCAAAATACCGTATGAATGGTGTATGGCACATAAATTACGTTGTTAAATTTTTGCAGGCTCTCTTTCACAGAGAAACAGATAAGACGAAATATGATAATACTGGAACTGTAAACAGGAAGTATTTATTAGATGCAGGGAGGCAGATAAAGTGAGGTGGTCCTTTTCCTAGTCCTTAGCGCTCAGTGCTTTATTTTCAGAGTGCTGGAGACTCAACTCACTTTTTCAGTGCTGTTACATGTGTTAATTTTTAAGTGGCAAATTTAGCCATTACTGAGATACTTAGTACTACAACTGCTGAACAAGATGCTAACCTAAACATGGAATGTTTTTTGAGTTGAAATGGGTGATCAGTTGTTAAGTTCAATGCAGGCGCTTGTGTCTATAAATAAAGTTACTGAAATTTTCGACTTATTTTAAAAAATTGAGAAACCTCACAGGAAAATGTTCATAGTCGCTAGTAAAGTTTCAGCTGCAGCTCAGCATCTTTGAAGAGGTTTTATTAGAAATAAAAGCCTACCTTTTTATTTGATTTTTTTGCTCCTTATACAACAGAGAAACAGTGATAGCTTGTTAGCTGCTTATACAATTACAGAACTTATTCTTATGTTAATGTTGCCAAATACTTGTAGCTGAAATTGTTGCTAGGACAAAAGCTAGTAATATCAATACAGGATAAAGGAGTAACTTATATCTTTAAAACCATTTTGCTGATGGTGTCAACATTAACATGATAGTGTGAGCATTAATTTGTAAGTGTTAATCTAAAAATAATTCCTATATTGTCACTGAAAAACAAAATCTTTTTTTGGATCATTTCACAAATAGGCAAAAGGAAACGTACCCTTGCTTTTCAATACCTGGTGCTAAGAGGAAAAACTGGAAAAAAGTCTGTCTTTTGTCAGAGAAGGGCAGCACGCATAGTGTGCTTTTAATGCAAACCTGGAAGTGACTGGCCACAATTTAAACTTCAGAATTTGCTAGTCTGAGACAATAAAACTGACATTATGTCTCCAGCTGTCAGGTCTTTTAATGGTAAAAAAAGGAATTTAGAAAAAAAAAACCAAACCCCAAACCTCTTCCTTCTGGGGAAACAAGGGAGTGGATAAGATGTATAACTTCATTTGAAAAGATCTATAGGTAAACTGACCAGTTTTCATCCCAACTTCGAAGCATTCCAGAGCTGCAGGGATGCCTCTCTAATGATGCACAATGTACTGCAAATCCCACAGTACAACAAGCAACAGGAACTGGTCTTTCATCAAAGGCAGTGAAATATGGGGAAAAGAGAACAATGAGGACGGGGTAATAGAGCAATTATTTACATCAGATAACATTTACTTTGGAGTCATATTTATGCCAGAGTATCTCCACAGCACCTACTGGGCACATTGCAGTGCAGACTGAATGTGTGAGTGGCAGGAAATGAGGCACTGTCTTCTGCATCAAATTGTTGCAGTAATAAGGCTATAAAACCAGTGGCAACGATATCCCTATTCAGTCTGTTTTCACTGAGGATATGAAGTGTGACTAATCATTTTTTTGATACTGAAGCAAAGATTCAAGGCTTCTTTCACCAGACCTGCACCAATGCAGAACCAAAGCTGGTGCTTTGTTCATGAAGCTTTCATCTCCGGAGTTGTCTGCGGTTGATTTAATGTTGAAGTGACAGAAAGCCACAAAAGACAGAGCTGAGGGAATTTTTTAGGCCCTCATCT